GTGAAAGCCCAAGAGAATCTTCTGTTTGTTCAGTCAGTTGATCCTTCCACACGTGTTGCAAACTGAATAGATATAACTATTGCTGTTCTTGTAAAATTTAGTGGGAGACCGCCACTCCACTAAAGGTTAGAATATTAACTTTCCAAACTGAACAAAATTCCCATCAATTTCTACAGTATTTCTATATTCTCAGCTAACCAGAATGCATGAAAAAATTTTCAACTAATAGAGTGGAACTATATATTTGGGATTTGTTTTTTGTTGTTGTTGTTCAAAAGAGAAAAAATGACTGGGAATTAATGGACATTGGTTACTGAGGAGAATTTTCTCACTCACAGAATTTTTGTGAATACTATTGTGGGGGTACAGAAAAAGAATGTGGTTAAGTCTACACTTACTTGCTTCCAGTCATCCATTCCTGTTCAGCTTTGGGTTGCACTAAGAACCTTTGTGATTAAAATTACAATCAGAAGCCATGAAGGACCATCAGAGAGGTAAGCATGATTGAGTTTGTTATGACAGATATTCACCATCTAGAAACTAAAAGAATAAAACTAAATAATAATGTTTCATCAATATTTCTCAGGAAAAATAAGACAATTCTGAAATTTGACTTAGTTCTGTGACAGGTGATATGACCTTTGAATAATGATCACGGAAGGGAGAAGTTTGCAAAAAAAAACAGATGATTGACAGAGGGAACAGTCACCTATGAGAGGTTATGAGAAAACCTTATCTCCTCAATCCTTAGAAAAATGTTTCTCCCAATGTTTTCCACTACACAGTTTGAATCTTCAAATTAAGCAGTAACCCTCTTTAGTGAGCTTCATATTTACCATGCATTGCCCCCACTAGACTATTCTTTCATGAACATTAAGTTGGTACATATATATCTTATTGTGCAAGAGTTTATTAATGACTTTTTCGGGTAAGGTCATGGTATGGAGAAAAATTAGATATTGACAAAGAATTCTCCATTACCTGGCATGGTATCAACTAATAGTTAACAGGAGCCAGAGGCATGTCCAACTTGCCTGTAATATCTGGAAACCCACACTGGGGCACAATCCATTCCTCGCTAGGATGAAAAAGTCATATTTTCCCAGACTCAGGGAAACACACTTCAAGGCTATTTGTGAGAAATATTTTCTGACAACCAAGTGAAAACCATTCTTGAAATACTAATTGGAGTCTTCTGGGAAGATCCTGTTCCATTTAATTGATGGGAGAAATCAGGAGCCCAGAAAACAGTTAAGTCCAAATTAAAAACATTTGAGTAGCTATGATGTGATTAATTACAGATAGTTCAAGAACCATCATCTGTCAGTTAATGGCCCTAATTCAGGTACACGTAGTTAGCTGACAGATCCTTTGCTCAGGCAGGCAGAGGTGGCACTATATAAAAGATTGATTATCTTTAAAAAAAATTTTTTTAAAGAAAATATATGGAAATGGAACACATAAGAAGACTTAATAGTTTGCTTTGTTTAAAAAAATAAAAACTCTTTCCTAAAAAAAAAAAAAAAAAAAAAAAAAGATTGATTATCTATGCAGAAAATAGGGGAAACAAGAGTAGGCAGATACTCGTGTCCTCACCATTGGCCAGTCATGAAAAGTTTAAAATGAGTGAAGTAGACAGGTGAAAGAAAGTATTCTGAAACATTTCGAACTAAGTCTTTGGAGTCAAGTTGCCTGTTTTCATATCCCTGCTTTGCCATACTCTAGATGGAGGATATTTTAGACGGGTGTAAGTTTTAGGTTACCTCACTTTACTCATCTGCAAAATGTGAATTATAATACCGCACACCTCAGAAAGTTGTGAGGATTAGCCAAAATAAGCCATGTAAAGCATTTAGCACAGTTATCTGGCTCATAGTAAATGTTCTAGACATGTTAGCTGTTGTGCTAGTGAGATTTGTCAATGGATTTGAAGGGAGAAAAATAGTTTTTCTAAGACAGAAGCATCTCTTATCTGATGAAATTTTATCATTAAAAATGTGGTTTTTGATTGAAAACAAAATATTTCTAGAATCAATAGCTTAACATCACAGTCAGCTTTGGAAAGCTTAGTATTGATCCGTTTTCTAAATTTACAATGAGAAATCTAGCTAAGAGCAGCTTTCTGAATAAGACACATTCACTAGTTAACTGGTTGTCCTTATTTTTTATTATTTTTATTAAGTTAATTACTCACTTATTAAGTTTTCTAGGAAAGTTTTAGAAACTAAGGGACAGAAATAGTGGACTAGCTACCACTGGAAGCCAGAGAACACATTAGAATAAGAAAATATGATCAGAAACATATTCCTAAAACTTTTTTTCCTACATTTATGTAGTAAAGAAAGTATGTAATTAGAATTCAAGAGACGTAAATTTAATTTCCTGCCACTAATAACTTACACGCATTCATTTTCAATTCCAGAATTAGGGTATTGAACAAAATAGTTCATGATATTGATTACATTCATGATTGAATTGCTTTGTTCATAATTTATAGATAATATTTTAAGTAAGGAGGACTGGTCTCCACCAAGGCTGAGTTGTTTTGTTGTGTTTTGTTTTTAATAAAGAAAGAGACAGGGAATCACAAACAAAGTGTGGAAGAGGTGACTAAATTAGTAGGACCATGTGAATGAAGTATTCTGAATTGGCACCGTGTTTTGAAAGGTCATGGCACAGAGCAGCACAGGAGAAAATATGGAGACTGGATGCAGTTGAGTGAATCCAAGGAGAGGCAGATTACTTAATACATTTTTCAGACTGCTATTCAACACATTGCAAAGACTAAATGACAAATACTAAAAAGATTTGGAAAGAAGGAAACACATAATGTATCACAGCTAGTAAAAACTCTTATCAATAAATAGTAAAGTTGTCAAGGAAGTAATATTTATGAAATTCAGAAAGTCCTTATAATTTTTAATTTAATATCAAAGTGAGTAGAAAACTTTATGGAAGTCCTGAGAGATATTGAAACAGGGCAAAACTGTGGTTTCAGGGAGGGAAAGAGTAGAAAGGGAACCCAACTTTGCTTAACTCAGGAGGGGAGGATAACAAGTACCACGGCAGGAACAACTCCCGTTCAAGTGAAAATATCCAGTCTTTACAGAATATTGATAATGTGCCTAAAATTATACTAAGAGCTTTGTGTGTAGTCTTCCCTGCAATTCAGGGAGGGGGATGATAATATTGGCATTTTATGGATGATGAAACTGAAGGAAAGTAGAGTACTGTAGGATCATCGTGTTCACCCCAATCTGACTGATTCCAAAGTCCCAGACTTCCACCACCACGATTTACAAAATGACCCAGGAAATTGCCCTCCACATATCCAGGAATTAACTTTCCAGCAGCCTCAACCAACCTCATAGAGGAGAACTAGAGGTATGGGGGTCAACGGCTGAAATGAGCCCCATGAAATTCAGTATCATAGTCTCCCATTATCACAAAACAATTCTGCACTTTAATTCATAATAACATAAAAATTATAAATCTGACATCCTCTTATACCCAGCCAAAGAGACCTGGTGTCAGCTGAGAGAACTCCCTCCCAGAAATAATTTATTTACCTTAGTGCTGTCAAAAATAGCTTCAGTCACTTTAGAAACCTTACTAGAGATGAGTGACTGAACCAAAATGAATGACTGATGCAAGCTTTCCAAATAAATGTATTTCAGATAAAGCGTAATCAGTCAATTGGTTTTTATATGCAAAATGCTTGATTGTACTTATTCACAAGCATGTATTTAACTTCTAGAATCCCAAACACTTTGCTAGGTAGTGATTGAGAGCAGTGAGCAGAATAAACATGGCCTGTGTCCTCATGGGCCTTGCAGTCTAGTAAGCAGACAAAAGTTAACAAGTTAAAAAGAATGTACATACTCATAAATACAAAGAAAAAAGGAATGCTTTAAGAAGATCAGAGGGTCTTACTAAAAGACCAGAGTTTGCGGAAGATTTGTTTTGGAAAACACTGCCAGGTGAGACCTCTCTGCGGAGATCACAGTTATAGTGAGATCTAAAAAGTTACAAAGAATTACAATAAGTGAAGTTGGAGGAACTGAAAAAGGACACTATAACTGGGACACGTTGACTAAGGGAAAAAGCCGAGGTTGGAGAGGAACGTAGGAGCCAGATCAAGTGGGAATTTGGAGGTCAAGGGTGGAAGTTTGGATCTTATTTCAAGTACAAAAGGAAGCCACTGAAGGAATTGAGGCAGGAGAATGACATCCTTCAATTAACAAAGAGAGCAGAAAGGTAGCAGTTATTTTAAATGAGTATATTTGACTGTGAAGTTGAAAAAAAGAGAGAGACCGAAAGGAAAAACTTTAGAAACTTCACATCTTTATAACCAACTCCATTTACATTCCACTGAGAGAAGATATGCAGCATTTATAACCAGAAGGATTATTACCATTAATTCTAAAACCTTGTATGTAGTAATAATAGCAAGCTCTTATATAATGCTTACTAAGATCATTTTCTAGATGTTTTAAATGTGTTAACTCAATTGTTCCTTTCACAGCAATACAAGATAAGTTCAATTATTCTCCACAGTTTGCATATGCAGAAATTGAGGCACAGAGGTTAATAATTTGCCTAAAATGCTGAATTAATCATAATTTGGGCCCAGATAGTCAAACTCCTGAGTACAGTATATACCCCAAACCAATGTGTAATGCTTCTCCTCTGATGCCATTATATGATTTGGAGTAATGTCTTTGTTTTTGTTTTTATGTTTGTTTTGGGGGTTTTTGATTGTTTGATCTAGGACTTCCTATACCATAAACTTATCATATAGATAATGATCAGAATTTTTAACACCAGACTTCTGGTCATACTACTATATAATTTCAGAGTAGCACGAGTCATTATCAAATAAAATAATGTTGGCTAACCTAGCACTTTCATTCTACTCCCACTAATAATTCTTTTGAGCCCCACTCATATTCAATTTCTATCCTGCTTTTACCTACAGAACATGAAGTCAGAGGTCAGTGATGAAAAATTACACAGTGTTAACAACATACATCCTGGTGGGACTAACAGATGACCCAAATCTACAAATTCTGCTTTTTGTCTTTCTGTTCATCACCTACCTGCTGAGTGTCATTGGAAACCTGACCATCATCACCCTCACCTTTGTAGATCCCCACCTTAAAACTCCTATGTACTTCTTCCTGCGAAATTTTTCTTTCTTAGAAGTCTCTTTTACCACTGTCTGTATTCCCAGATATCTATATACTCTTGCCACTGGAGACAATACAGTGACCTATAATCCTTGTGCCACTCAGTTATTTTTTGTTGTTGTCCTGGGTGTGACTGAGTTTTTTCTCCTGACAGCCATGTCCTACGACCGTTATGTAGCCATCTGCAAACCCTTGCATTACACGACCATCATGAACAACAGAGTCTGCATCAAGTTCCTTATTGGCTGCTATGTATTAGCACTGATCATTGTTCTTCCACCCTATATTATGGGCTTTGATCTCGAGTTTTGTGACTCCAATGTCATAGATCACTTTGGCTGTGATGCTGCCCCAATCCTGAAGATCACCTGCTCTGATACACAGTTTATAGAACGGTTTGTCTTGGTCCTGGCAGTGTTAACGCTCATTTTCACCTTGGTGTGTGTGATTATGTCCTATACCTATATCATTAGGACTATTCTAAGATTCCCATCTGCTCAGCAAAGAAAAAAGGCTTTTTCCACCTGTTCTTCCCATATAATTGTGGTTTCTATCACATATGGAAGCTGCATCTTTATCTATATTAAACCACGTGCAAAAGAAGGGGTTGCCATGAATAAGATGGTGTCATTGCTCACAACTTCAGTTGCCCCCGTTATGAATCCCTTCATTTACACTCTGAGAAACAAGCAAGTGATACAAGCTTTCAAAGACATGATCAAAAAGATTGCATCTATCTCAAAGAACTAAAGGACTAGTGAATACAAAAAGTTAAGATGTAAAGGGACTCTCTAGACTCATTTTTTAAATCTTACTGAGCTATAATTTCACTATTGTAAAGTTCACCGATTGTAAGTGTGCTGTTCAATAAAACAGAATAAAATAATAGAGTTGTGAAATCACCACATGATACAGCTGTAGAACACTTCCATCACCCCAAATGTTTTCCTCAAGAACATTTGAATGTCACCACCACTGCCACCCACTAGCTCCAGGCAACCATTGTTTGGTTTTCTGTTTCTGTATAAACTTGCCTTTTCAGATCATCTCATGTAAATGGAAAGATGTAATATGTAGTATTTTGTGTCTGGCTTCCTTCTTTTAACACTTTTTTTTAAATGTTCATTCATGTTGTAGCATTTATGAGTTGTTCATTTCCTTTTACTGCAACTAGTATTTCATTACATGGATATACTATATTTTGTTTATTCATTCACTAGTTGATGAACATTCGGATTGTTTTCATGTCACTGTGAGACACATGCTTTAATTTTCTTCTGTTTTTTCTTGAGGAAGCTTGCTTAGATTTACTTTTCTTTAATTTTTTGTTGTTATGGATACATAATAGTTGCACATGTCTATGGGGTACATGTGATAGTTGATACAAGCATACAATATGTAATGATCAAATCTGGGTAACTGGGTTATCCATCACCTCAAGCATTTATCATTTCTTCATGTTAGGAACATTCCAATTCTACTCTTTTCATTATTTTGAAGCATACAATACATTATTATCAACTATAGTTGCCCTATTTTGCTATCGAACACTAGATTTCATTCCTTCTAATCTAACTGGATATTTGTACTCATTAACTAATCCTTTTTATCCCCCACCCCACTACACTTCTGAGTCTCTGGGAACCCTCTTTCTGCTCTCTGTCTTCATGAGTTCAATTTTTTTTTTAACTTTTACATATGAGTTGAGAACTTTGATATTTATCTTTCTGTGCCTGGCTTATTTCACTTACATGATGCCCTCCAGTTTCATCGATGCTGTTGCAAATGGGATTTCCTTTTTATGACAGAGTAATATTCCATTGTTTCCATGTACCAATTTCCTTTATCAACAATGGCTTCACACCCAACCATGGCCCACTGTACTTTGCACAAGCACAAGTCAGGCCTAACTGAAAGGTACCTGACTCAAAATTCAGAAATGTTCATGAAAAAGATTGATAGGTTTGAATATATTTTTTAAACTTTTTTTTTTTTTAAACCTCTGTGTAGCAATAAATAAATAAGCCAAGGACAGAAAAAAATGACAAACTGGGGTAAATATTTTCAATTAAAATTAGAGATTAAAAAACTATATTCTGAAGTTCTAAAATGTTCCAACATAAAGATGAAGACAGCAGACACTAGAAACTCTAAAGAGAGGAGGGAGGGAGAAGGGTAAGGTTTAAAAAACTACCTTTAGGATACCATGTTCACTATTTGGGTGATAGGTTCAATAGCAGCCCAAACCTCACCATCATACAACTTACCCATGTAACAAACCTGCCCATGTACCCCCAAATGAGATTATTTTTTAAATGCTCTGAGAAATTTATAAGGAAATGTCACTACTCTATTGAAAATAATTCAGAGACAATATGAAAAGATGATCCAAATAAAATGAAAGAAAAATAATTCCTAAATACCTAGACATATAGTCAAACTTCTTCTTTTTTTTTTTTTTTTTTGAGTTGTTTCACTCTGTTGCCCTGACTGGAGTACAGTGGCCGCTCCTGGCCACCGCAGCCTCGACCTGCTGGGACTCCGGCGATCCTTCCGTCTCAGACTTCCAAGTAGCTGGAACTACAGGCACGCGTTACCACACCTGGCTAATTTTTTGAATTATTGTAGAGATGAGGTCTTGCCAAGTTGCCCAGGTGGGTCTCGAACCTGCAGGCTCAGGCAATCCACTCACCTCGACCTCCCAAAGCACGGGATTACAGGCTGAGCCACCAAGCCCGGCTTAGTCAAACTTCTTAATAACAAGATACACGGTGTAACATCACTGAATCACCAATTTTCTCCTGTCATATTTAAAACACATCCAGTAGTTCAATAGTACAATTTATTGTCAGAGCACTGGGGAAACTGATACTCTGAAAATGTTTGTAGGAATATAAATCGACGTAAACCTACAAAACTCAATTTCACAATAGCTATCAAAATTCGAATGCATTTAAAATCTAGTCTTTTAACCCTTTAACCAAGGAGTTCCATTTTGAAGCCAGGAGCGGTGACTCACATCTGAATTCCAGCACTTTGGGAGGCTAAGGCAGGAGAACTGCTTGAGCTCAAGAGTTTGAGACAAGCCTGGGAAACAGAGCAAGACCTTGTCTCTACAAAAAATCAAAACAATTAAGCCAGGCATAGTGGCGCTTGACTGTAGTCCCAGATATTTGGGAGGTTGGAGGTGGAAGGATCACCTGAGCATAGGATGTGGAGGCCTCAGTGGCCATCGTACTCCAGCCTGAGTGACAGAGTGAGACTCTGACTCAAAAAAAAAAAAAAAGAAAGAAAGAAAGAAATTTCATTTGGGGGATTTATTCAATAAGTATCCTTGCAAATGTGTGAATCAATATTTCTGTAATTCATTCATTTCAGCATTGCTGGTAGTAGCAAAAGAAGTTAATCAATGCTAAAGTCCAGCTCCAACAAGAGAGTCAGGGCCTGACTGGGGAGAATCGGGAAGCGGCGAAAAAGAAAAGACGAAGATGACAGGAATCCACTTCCTGGGGAGAACTCAAGACTCTGCCAATTTTTATTCAATTCTTACAAGCTTATATAGTTTTTTACTGACCCCTCTACCCACAAAATGTATCCCATGTTACACATTAAATGTTTACATCATGTTTTTTTCTTTTGTTTATGGTGAAGTTGACCTTTACAAGTTTCATTTTGTTTCTTCCTGCTGCCAGGTGGTGTAACAAAATACCAGCTGCCAATTTATCAGCCACGACCTGTGACCCCTAGGTCACCTGAATCTCTTCCCTTTGCTATTCTCTTTCTTTTCCTTTACTAATCTATTTTCTTAATTCTACCCTTATACATACTTTTAGTGGCAATATATTGACTTGCTTTTTCCTTTATATAACCACCCTTATCTTACCTACGACGAATTCTTAATACTATTAATTTAAAAATTTAACTTTCTTAATTCTAATTGCCTTATCTATATTACTTGCTATTTTCTTATCACCTATTTTACATTTTATATTTCTAAACGAAACATGTCTAAATCTACACTTATATATGAAACTAATCTTACTTCTAATCCTAAATATATTTAATTTTAAACCTACATTAAGTGTATATAATTTTAAGTTTACCTTAAAACTTAATTATTTCCTATTCCTTATATTTAACTAATACCTACATCTATAATAAACATTTATCTTTTAATTATAACTGCTATCTATTTAATTCTAATCCTTACTTTAATTTTAACCTTCTTTCTAATTAAACTATAATATTTCTTAAATCAAAAGGCATGTCTGTGACTTGTTTTTCCCAAAAGCACCTGTTTGTGGAGATACTCTGTCTCAGTTTCTCACTCCCTCATCAATCACAACTGTCAATGTTGTTACTTATAAAGGGTGTGAGGAAGTACTTGTTTTTCCTTTTTAGCTAAAGGTTGCAAAATTTGCATTCCCTTGTCCCTTCAGGGGGGAGATTTTTTGCTGATGCACCCTTTTTACATTTTTATATATAGGTTTATTACTAATTCCACATCCTTGCACATTCTAAGGGGCACCCTTTTTGCTGCAATCTCACCTCCATTATGCCTATGTATAATTTTTGCTGTCAAATGCCATCATCCATTTGCACATCTATTATCTCAATTAAAGAGGGAATAGTCTCAAGCCTATGCACGCAATCCTTCAAAGTTAGGGAAGGTCCGTCAACAGGAACCATGGGGCTTTACCTCCGTCATGGCCGCATCTTACTGGGGCCTTGCTCCCAGCCGGCGTTTTTCCTGTTTTCAGGTCCCTTTTACCTTACTTTTACTAGTGATTGCGGCTCCCGGCAAATATACTACTGAATATTAATTTTTAAAGTAAATTAATTCTATTACATTTATGTTTATTATAAATCAAAAACAATTACCTCCAGTCTACCTCAAAATAGATTTTGACCCACCAGGTGTCACTGAATGCTACTTTCTATTACAAGTTGTTTTAAAGACTGGCATGGCATAAGAGACAAGATAGACAAGTGGGACCTCACTAAA